TGCATAATAACTAAATATGCGCAGAAAACAGAAAAAAATTGATTTATACAAATAAATCCCATTTATCCATTTTAAATTGTGAAAAACGTATTCGTACAATGCAAAGTTCAGATTTTAAAACACTTATATTTCTTTAATACTCTAGTTTATTAAAGTGGAATGTTTCAAAATTTTTATCAGCAGTTAATTTTAGCCGAAACATACACTGAAACTTTCTGTAAGTGATATTCGTGCAAGAAGGTTTTCATCAAAGCAAGAGATAAAAAATTGACAAATTCGAAAAAGAACTGATTGTTAAACTCTCGAAATAATCTAAAAGTCACAGGAAAATCATAGACAACTCGAATATTCCATTTACTACAAAGTATAAAACTCAAAACTGTTGAAAAGCAAAAGAACAACAGGTGCTCCTCGGAATATTAACTGCAAGATCTGCGAGGAAATTAATGCGTCAAAATTAACAATATACAATGGTTACTCGTCAATTGTTGTACAAAATCTACGAAGGAATGGCTTCCTAAAAATAATGTAAATCTCCTGAAATGACGAAGTCAGTCCCCAGATTTAAATCCATTCGAGAATATGTGGCGTTATTTTAAAATGCAAATCCAATCGAGAGCTCCAACAAACATGTTGGATCTGATGAACATTTGCGAAAAAGAATGGAACAAAATACGAACAAAAATTTACAAATAATTGAGAACTACAGGAAAGGCATCGTTGCTGTAGACGTGTATAATGGCTATTCTACAAATTATTAAATGAAGATTATATATTATTTTTTGTATAGTACGAATATTTTTTCAACCATTAAAATGGATAAATGAGATTTATTTTTAAATCATTTTTTCTGTTTTCTATGCATTTTAAATTATTATTCATCAGTGTACAGTTAGTTATGTGAAAAGTATGTTTTATTGCTTACTTGAAAATACAATAAAATAAAGATTAGTATGCGTACAAATATTTGAGTCGCCCTACTGTATATACACACCGAAGTTTATACGATCGAGATTTCAAGATATTTGCAATAATATAAGAGTTTATTTTTTCCAAGCCCTCCTACCTCATTATATATCCAAATAATTGCAACTCTCTTTCTCAGCGTTCGCTTTTTTGTTTTCCTTAAGACTTCTTCGTTACTTAGTCAATCCTTCAGTACCCTTATGTAGAAGGAAATTTCTGTTGCCTGCATTTTCCTCGTCAACTGTGGTGCGATTGTCCATTCAAGTATATTGATATCAAGCAGAGAGCATCACACTTTTCCGTGTTTCTAATGAAATTTTCCCGTTGCTTATTAGCTGTATTTTTCGACATTTCCGTGTCTCATTTTCCATCACTTTTTAAAGGACATCCCAGATATTTAAACTTCTGTACTTTTTTGATGTTGGCTAAAAAACTTAATAACGTTGAACCAACTTTCGAATTCACACACGAGGAAGACATAAACAACTTATACTTTATTAACATTCCCTTAATCCGAAGCAAAAGCAAATTAGATTTCAAAGTTTACCGAAGACCAACTAATAAAATGACCTATTCAATCTATATTTTCATAACGATCACAAAATAAAATCATAGGTTACTGATATAATGGAATATGCATACACCTGAGTTCCCTCTCACTGGAATATGATTGGCTGGTGTCCGTCATAAATATAGCTAATTCCTAAGCGTAGCTTAGATGTGGCACAAAGCCGAAAGTAAGGGACACCTAGTGAGGATCGAACTCACTTTTCAGTCGTAACTGATCTAGCGAGACAAGCTTGCTAACCATTACACCAAGCCGAGGTGCCCAAACAACGATATAGTTATTTTTCAAGCATAGCTTAGATGTGGCACAAGGCCGAAAGTATGGGGCATCTCAGTGAGGATCGAACTCACTTTTCAGTTGTAACTAATCTAGGGAGACAAGCTTGCTAACCATTACACCACGCCGAGGTGCCCCCGTCATAAATATAGACTTTGGAGGGATTTTAATGCACACTTATCATCTCTCAGGGGCTTCTCTGTCAAAGGACAGAGGGGCAACTGAGAAAAATTATACTGAAGATGTGCCCAGTCCCGGGGAACAGCTGCCCGAGGCCGCGCCCTCCCATTGCACAAGAGGGAGTGATCGGTGCTCGAACCGAGGCCAGCACAACCGACGGTTGCGGGGGCTGAGGGGAATTTTTGTCCCTGCCCGAGTGTACGCGCTCGGGACCCCACATTAATCCGACCTTGTGTCACATCTCGTTCTCGTGGGGGAATGAGTAAACACCCAAGAGTCCCACCGAGCGACATCATTCGCTCACTTTCTGGTGCGACTGTTCGGTTCAACTCTCTTCCTACGGGCGGGAGGAACCCGAAGAAGGCTACGCCGAAGGGCGGAGTCTCCTTCGGGGACATAAAACCGGCCCTGAACCCGTTTATACGGGTTCATATGGGCTATTTTTTGGCCAAGCCTAATGGCTCGGGAATTCCCACGTTAAAAAAGCCTTGTGCCACATGACACCCTCGTGGTGGGGTGACTAAATATCGTCATAAATATAGACGGACGTGTGGGTACGATAGTGTTTAAGTCTATGACGACGCCCATTGGACTACGCCATTGGCTATCCTATTGGTCTACACCTATTACTTGCGACTATGACGAGTACCAGTCGATTACTGCTACCGTGTACTATTTGGTTACAATAGCCAAAACGACTTAGCTACTTCGATCAAATATATCGCTTTCCCGGACACATCAGTTTCTATCTGAGATACTTCAGAATATGTAACCCAGAATACCTAGATGAAGGGAAAAAAGTACATTGAAAAAAATATTTTAGGCTCTTCACTATATTCTTAACGTAAGAAAACGTCTATAAGAAATTGATAAGACAAAAACTGTAAGTGTTATATACACTGAAAAATGCTTCATAAGGAAAAAACATTAGTTGATTAGTTTGCAGAGTTGGCCATTCACAGAAATATTCAACCAAAAATACTTAGAAGTCAATAGATAGTCTTACGACCAAATCACGTTGCAACACCTGTTCCCGTACCATTAATCAAGTTAAGCATCTTCAAGCCTGATCAGTACCTTGATGAGTGGCCGCTTGGGAATACTAGTTGTTGTAAGCTTGCAGGAGCGCTTGGGGTAATGAATGAAGGATCGGAAATTTTAATCGGAGAGCCGAATTCCAATTCCATTTCATTTCGTTATATTCACTTCTGTGCAGACATATATGGAATAATACGAATCCACCTCGACTCAACATAAGTTATTAGTTAATTACTAAGGAATATATCATTATACAATTAATATTACGCCCAACAACATTCTTAAAATTTGATAATATTTTCTGTTTTTAAATAACGCGCGAAAGGGTTGATAAGCAGGAGAAAATCATTGCGGCCTTAACAACAAAGACAAGGTCATTAGTTTGCCAGTAACTAATGTCACTTATCAGAATTCCTCATCCCAATCTAATAACGTGTATGAAATAAAGAGCTCAGTTCGAAATTGAAAAAAGCCGAAGAACACGTCATCTGAAACCCTGTAATATTAAAAAGGATGAGGATATTAGTCTGTCGGTAACTAATGATAACTATGATAAATCCTCATCGCAGAAATATCGAGATAAATAAATAGTAATTTATTCGGTTATATGAGATAAATCTTAATATGTTTCAAATGCCTATATCATTGGAATTTATTTATAAGGAAATATTATATAACACATTTTTGTATAAAAAGAAACGCCTAAAAGCAGAAAACAAATAACATTTATAAATATATAATATACTGAGTTGCATAAAATCTAGCAAAGAGTGTTAAAACTAGACAAAGAAATTCAGAATGCATTCATTCTTTTTAATCTGTTATTATTGGTTAGGAAATATCGATATTTTCCAAATTTTTATAACAATGTCTATTATAGTCGAAACCCTTCTTATCAGCGAAGAACAGAAAGGAATATGCAATAAAAGTTTGCTTCGATTTAAATATTATTCGGTTCCCTGTTTTCTATCGTGATGTACGTGTTAAGATGGCCATAAGGATTCATTAAATTTAAATTAAAAACAGCTAAACGAAATTGAGAAAAATGGGGAGAAGAATCTTGTTGCTTTGGTGCGTGAAACCAGTCAAGTTAACTTTTCCTGCAGGCGATTTTTAGCAATCGAACATTGTTTGGCATTTCACTGCAGACGACTTCGCCGGAAGGAAAATTGTAGAAGTACATTAATGATGACACGATGATGCTGATGTTGAATTCATAAAAAAAGTATACTTGGACAGTTCAAATTAATAGCTGTCTTGCGAGTATCTATCTGTTCAACATTTTAATTCACTACCGTTTTCTCAATCTGTCTTTATATCTTTCTCAGTTAAGAGGAATTAACTTTTTTTTAAATTCTCAACTTGTCAGGCCTTGATGCTGAAATATTTGTGGTTGATTCCGGCGCTGGAAGTCAGTGTTCGAGTTCAGAAAAAAAAAATGTTGATTTTTCAAAGTAGATATAAGTAGCTTTAAGGAAGCGTAATATTGCACAATATTTCAAGAAGTAATCCACTCGTTTTTGTGTATATGTCATGCCCTCTGAGGATGTAAACGATCACGGATTTCGAAGTTTACTTATGATGATTCACCTAACATTCTAACCCTTTACATATCATCTTTATTTACACAATCACAGTAATCAGGTTATTCGCTCTCCCCGGCTTCTTTTGCATTCAATGTCATGTGAGTGTTTAATTCTCCGTGACCACTTTCCTTAGAATGTATCCAAGCAACTTTTAGTTCTCCTCTTAGGGATTTTTGGTATCACTTTCAAGGCAATTGTTTTATTCTTTGGTGCATTTATTTTACGAATTTAAGCGCAATACGAGCTCTCATAATTTTACTGAGTACAGCTGAAATTGCTACATTTTACCGTTAGATCTATGCAAACAATTTCTTCTCCTGCACCTCTTGCATCTGCAAATCTCTTCCAGCTTCTTGTTTCTTGCTTTCTATTCAACTTTGATCTTCAAGAATTTAAATGCAATGACAAGCGTCATCTTATGTTTCCTTAACTGCTGTTCTTTTATTGCTCTCTATATATATCACCCCCCCTCTCTCTGTCTCTCTCTCTCTCTCTCTCTTTCTCTCTCTTCTTAAAAATGTTTTTATTTTTCTCATATTCTTTCACACTCAGTCACCCACCTGCATGTAATATCATGATTGAGGAAAAGTGATTTTAAAACAATAATCCGTGTGTAAATGAATGTAAATAATGCTAATTCCACATCATCAAAAATTAAGATTAAATGCTTTCAACGCTTTCATTTTTTTAGTGTACTATTTGGTTCTTGATTTTTTTTTTTAAATTTACTGCAGACTGAACAATAAGTAGTTCACAGATCATATTTTCTTTCGTTCTTTAGGAAGCGGACTTAGGTTCATTCTTTTCTGTCGGAATGAATGTCTATTTATTTATTCCATTTTTTTCTTTGATTTCATCTCATTGAAAATAACAGATTCACCTAAACAGATTTGCTTCATTTCGTTTTCCATGTACATTATTTTTCTTTCTTTTTGCCGATAAATTATTGCACTGAAAATGCTACGAAATACTTAGTCGTAGGTAATCAGGCTGCCTTGTGACCAAATGTCCCAACCATCTAGCGCGATATATTCTTTCTATTCTTTCCTTTTATTTAAGCGTCAATATTGAGATTTCAAATGGCGGCAAATAAAGATTGAATTTCCTGTCCCAGTTTTCTCGAGTAATTTTGTAGCTTAGCCTACTTGTAAACATTTCCAAGAAGCAAGTGTATTTTTATCCCAAAGTTTTTATGATTGGAACCTCGGGATTTCGAATAAATCATCGCGTAGTTGTTATTGCAGATAACAGTAAATATATCTACTAATGTTTACGCAATACAAAGCCGAAGAACCATCAAGGTAGAGTGTTACAGAATGAGGTTTTGTATGGATGTAAGGGGAATAAGGAAGTGTATATTATGAGGATATGTAGGATATATAATGGTTGTTATCTAAGTGAGGTTCGGTTAAAAAAATTTACACAATGCCGAGGCTTATCCATAAATGGATACGGAAAATTTTGGGAAGATTTGGTGCTTTAAGTTTGCTTGTCCGTGTGGTGTAATTTGATAGACGTGTTCGAATTCTACCCGTCTCCTCATGCTTACTTGCGCGCAAATAATGTTAGAAAAGATGCGATTCCAACTTTTCTTAAATATTAGTCAGAAATATTTACATGTACTTTATTTATGACATAGATATTAGCTTCTCTCCACTTATTATCATTTTATATATCATCCCGTTTTAATAAATAGTTTTATTTTATTTTCTTTATACATATATATATATATATATATATATATATATATATATATATGTATCTACGTATGTATATCTTATTCATCCTTGTTAAATGAGCAAACCACTTCATTTTTCTCATATTACCAAACTAAATAAATTCTAAATAACTTATTCAAAATTCCTTGTACAAATTTAAGCAATGCAGATTATTCTAAAGATGAAATTGTTGTCAATATTTTATAAATTCACCGGCCCCAGGGGCGCTCTTCTAATTTTGTTAATCATCTAATTGCAACCCACAGACACATTAACGATACAAATATGAAGTGGGAAGAAAAGAGAATGTAAACTTAATAGTTTCCAAGAAAAACGTTTTCATTAATCGATTTTTAAAAATTATCAAGTAATATTTACATAAATTACACGTAAAAGTAAATGGAAATAATCAATAAATTACATATAACAATGATATCAGGTTTGTTTCGTTCGTAATTATTTCTGCTTTCTACAAACATTCTTCGTGTTTAGTCCGTGTAAGTCTAAAAGAAAAGCTTCATCTTGGAAGTCGAAATCAGCATATAGTTGAATATCCTGAGATAATGAAGTCCGAACCTCAATAATATTAACTACGAATACAATGTACTGACTGTGTTTGGAGAATAAAACATACTTATAACTCTTTATTTATGTTTGTATACATATACATATATACATATACATCCACAGAGATACTGTTTCGTTGTATCACAGCTCCATAGTGTGGCTAGACTTCCGATTGGTTCAAACCGGGATCGAAAACAGATTGATTCGGCAACATTCAAAGGTTTCCTCCCTAACTTCCTAACCCAGCGGCGCAGGTCCAAGGAAGAGCGAATTTTTACGTACTAATAAACAGACCAATGAGCGAGAGATATATCCAAGTTAAATGAGAAGGAATAGAGTAAAATGCGAACGTGTGTGTGCATATATATATATATATATGTGTGTGTGTGTGTGTATGTGCGTGTGTGTTGATTTCATTAATGCATGTTTCATTAAATATATAATTCAGAGAAAATCCTGGTGGAAAACCCAACTATACTTAAATATGAAGACTAAAATTTTTTCAAGGTATATACATAAAACAGTTGAAACCTAACCTGAACAAAATAATCTATGAAAACGTCACAAATATGCTCAAATCCCTATAATTGATAATAGAAGTCATTGGTTTATACCAACGGCTTCTAATTCTTAACAGGTATCTTGCATGATCATATGTGACGTCATGAGCCGCGGTGCAATTTTCGCTTCCAGCGTCTCGTATGCACGAGTTTTTCTTTGCTTGGAAAGCTTTCATGCAAACAAAAACAGGCTATTATTATTTCCATGTACGCGTATTGTTTAATATATTGTAATTTTATTGTCACCTTTGATGATGGCTTATTTTAGCAGAAAGCTTAGATAGGATTAAAAAACATGAATCAATATGGCGATATTATTTTGTCTTTCAGTAAGAATGTTAGTAAGCTTACCAGACGATATGAAACTTGCATAAAAGGAATAGACAAAACTTGGCGATATTATTTAACGGAACATGCACACACACACACACACACACACACACACACACACACACACACACACACACATATATATATATATATATATATATATTTCAGCACACACATATATACATATATACAGACATTGACCTGGAATAAAATAGATTTCAAAGTAGGTTTTATTAACATTACTGTAATATGTGACACCTATTAATATTCACAGAATTCATCATTAATAACATTTTTCATATATCTATAAACATATA